GCATGTATTAGCATCTGACATGTGTGATAGACACCAAGAGTATTAGCTGAGGCGCACTATGCCACTTTGAACGTGGAGCATGTATTTCGTTGTCTGAGAGTTGCAGGTGCTTGAGTTGTAGTTTGATGGAGTTCGCTTGGCAGCATGTTGGGAATTGGAACCCCACATCATTTGCTGTTGTAGATCCCAGCCAGTTTCTTTTTCCCTGACTGATTAAACAATTATGGAACATTGAACTTGGATGATGTGAGTTTCTGTTGGAGTCACGTTTAGAAGTTGTCTCTTAGGCTGTGATTACCGGAAGAAGTACTCCCAGCGTGCGAAATGCAGCTGTGAGCTGTGACCCTGGAGACAGTTCACGGCGTGCGAACGTGACGAGTTCTTCATTTAAAGTTAGGTTGAAGAAGATGATACAAAAAGCCAAACCTGAACAAAAATGAACAAAGCTTGGATGGTGGTTGTTATTGTCAGGGCCTACCTTTCACAGCAATAATTAGTTATCATTCTTGTGGTGGATGACCAGCAGCACGGAGAAGCCTATCAGAAGGGCCTACCCAGAAGCCATTTGAAGTCTCATGATATGACAGACCTGTCAGGTGCGCTGTCTGCAGCGTCACAGTGGGAGCTAGTTCTCCAAACTACACCTCAGGCAGTGAAGCTCCTCATTTGATTCAAATCGGTTCTCAGCTCTCCATGTCAGACAGTGTTCGTTCTTTCACCAATTTGATTGGTCAAATTGGACCAATACTGGGCGTTTGCTGTGCTCAGTCAATAGAAACAGCTTTTCCTTTGAACAAGTTGCCACACTTCTGCCTTAGATGAACAGGTGCTGATCCAAAGTCGAGCACTTAGTGACCTAGTGGACTTAGGAATTGAGCATGATTTTGGCTCACGTGGAATTGGTTGAAATGCTTGAGACCGCCAGACAGAACTGGAAGTGCAAAAAAACAGAGCTCAATTCAACCCTCGTCAATGCCAAGGCAAGGAGTTAGAGGAGGTAGAAGAGGTAGTATGCCAAAGTCACAAATCCTTATTCTTGGTTTCACTGCTGCAAGAGTAATAGAGTTCAGGGACTGTGACACAGGATCGCATTCCATGTTGGCCAAATCACCATTCCCCACTGCAACTCAGGTCCATTGCCTGCCATTTTTTTGGATTTGGATACATAAATCTCAATAATTGGAGAGAATATGCAGGCAATCCCTCGACTCCTTTTCGATTTCAGCGGATGGGAATCTGCCAGGCAAGTCTCAACTCTCTACTCTTTTTGTCTTTCAACTCGAAATTGCACGCTCTTTTGGCGAGTGATGAACAAAACGAGGCTCTCTTTTGATTCTCTTGGAGTACCAGTATCCACCCTCCGTTTTTGAGACGCTTTGTCACTTCTATGCTTTCGCCTTGGCTTGCCTCTACTCATATCACCACCATGCTACAAAGGCACCAAAGTCTTTGCTCATGGTTCCCTTCGTTGGTCCTGATTTGTATGAATTATGAGAATCTCAATTCATCCAAATGTCATTGACGCATGATGAGTAGGGAGCTATGCACCTTGAATCCTACAGATTCCTTCTCTGCTAATCATTTCTTTTCTGGTACAGTCAGCCAGCCTCGATTATATAGATTGACATCTTTGGAATGCCTATGTCTTGCACAAATCCCAATCCTGCATAGCTAAGTCTTCATCTGGGCGCCTAAATGACTATGCCCTGATCCTCAAGGAAAAGACCCTTCATGACAATATCTTGCCCTAAAGTGCAGGAAGGGTGCAGAATAGGCCCGAGACGGTCTCGGGTTCGTACTGCATGCAATTCTTACCCGCACCTTTCCAATGCTTTGCTTGGGCATTGGACATCTACACTACACGTTTGTGCAGGGCGGCTGCGCAAGGTTGTGCCCGGCCACATACACTTTTGTGAGTAGCTACCTAGGGTAAGCAAGCCGCGGCGGCCACTTTTTAATGTTCACTCTGTTTGTTTGTTGTCCGGAGGTTCTAGGACTCATCATATCTTTGTATCAAGCAGATCTTGACTACTTGGATTATGAGCACAATGGTGATGAAGATTGCTAAGTGGCACAGGTAAGAGGGATCCGAAGTGCTCGAGATTATTTTGTGCAATCGTCCTTCATTAATTAGTTTGGCTTGGTAGCATGGTCCTTGAGGTGATGATTCCAAAATGCTGCTAGTTTCTGTCAAGCCCTTATTTAAAACCTTCTTTAACTACGAGGTTCTGAAAAGAAGTTGACATCCGTCCAGATGGCTTCCACACCCATGTGCAATCCAATTTCGTTTTCTCAGGCCATGTCCTCACTCTCTCGTTTGCGACGCTGGCAACATGCTATGAACCTCCTGGACAAGTCTGAAGCTGAAGCCGCTTTAACATACCTTGACACCAAGATGCACATCATTGTAACACTGTAAGTGCTGCTTTTGCTGCAAGGCAGTCCAGCGCTGTCACTGTGAGATGGAACCTTAGGAAGGGAACAACTCAGAAACAAGGAGACAGTGCAAAGCGAAAGGGACAAGGGAAAGGACGAGGAAAGCGACGGTCCGATGGAAAAAGGGGGAAGAAAGGGGAGAAAGAGAAGAGAGGGAAGAAACGTAGACCCTTCATCAAATGAAGAAAGTGATACTTTTCATTCCGATCGAAACAGTTTTTACATTGTTTCTTTTTTCTGCACTGAGACAGAGTGCATGTACAAGAACTGCGGTGAGACCTGTCACCTTTTGAGGCCTTGCCAACCGAGCTGTGGATGGTGTGGTGGTTGCACCTCTTCAGAAGGAGGCTATCTTGTCAAGCTTTTCCGCATGTGCTGGTACACTCTTTTTCAGGTCTAACTCCAATGAGATTCAATCAAATCTAATCATTTGGCGCAAGGTTACACAAAAAAGATATAGGGATCGGGGTCAAACCCATCCATCCTGCTAGATGAGAGGGATGTGAGGAATCTTTGGCTGGTTAACCATTCGGACAGTGATAGGGGGAATCAGACGACGTGCTGTCTATGTCACTTCGTTCTGGCAGTCCTTTCTGTGCCAGGTCTCTCGAATCCCAACGTTTGACGCCTTTGACATTAGGTGCGAAATGCTTGAGGTTGTGGTGCAGCTTTTTGTTCTATTGATTCATCAGTGTTGTGTGTATCACCAATGTCAGCATCCCTTTTCATTTCTGCGCAGCCAAAGAGACCTACCATATTTAATGGTTGTCAGGGTGCTTTCCTTGAAATGGACGCAGGCAGCGCAGGGAAGTTGCTGCCCGGCTTTTGCTTCGTGAAGGGCCTATGTAGAAGCTTTCTCTTTGTGGAAGAGACACAGAACACTCAAGAAAAGATGCGTTTTGAAGTGGTTTGAAGCAAATGATCACTCGGACTGTTGTTCAGTCAGGCCTCCCCTCAACAACACACAAGAAAAAGTCAGGTGATGTTCAACGGAGTGTTTGTATTTGCACTGGGAGGTGCAAACGCCTGTGAGGAACAACGCTGCTATTCCATGATTGGGAGCACTAGTGCATGCCCAACGGGCCCCACGTATATTTGTATATATATACACACATATATATATATGTCAATCAAAATAGCTCAAGCCATCTAAGCCTCAAGCTGGTTGCCCAGGAAATCCAGCTGGTGAGTCCCAACTGCCAGCCATAGGCTGTCAGGACTACATCCAGCACTTCGTGACGAGAACCCTTCAACGACGACAAAGGCAACTACAAGAAGGCCATGAAGCGCCACTACATCGTGTGCCAGAACTGCCATCAAAGTTGGACTTGGCAGGATAGGCTTCTGAGACAGAGCGGCCTCCCTGCAAGCACTGCGGCACTCCATGGCAGGGACAAGGTCTGGCTGATCTCAAGTCTCAGCGCAGGCAGACCCAATGGGCCAGTTGGAATTTCCCACAGGTTGGAACCCAATGGCCACACCGCACCTACAGGCAGGCATTCCTCGAGCCTCCTCCCAGGTCTGCAGGGTGGGCAAAGGCACAAGAAGGCCAAGAAGGTGAAGCTCATGCCCCCTGAAAGGCAGTCCAGGACTAGTGGAGCACTTTGCCACTGACCCTCAAGACCCAATGTGAAGCGTTTGGGATGCAGCCCACCTGCTCCACCAGATCTACCGACACTGATCAAGGAGCATCTACAAAGCCTTCCCAGTGACCTAAAGGAGGCAGTGGAGAAACTCGTGGAACCTGACAAGCCAGAGCCCGCCCTGGCAACAAAGCTGAAGCAGTCGGTTGGATAGCTCAAGCAGTTGGCGGAGAAGAAAGCTGCCATCCAGCAGAAGGCAGATGCCGTGAAGGCTCGGTACACAGCGCTACTCCAGGAGCTCAAGGACATGCAGAACAAGATAGAGACGGCCCAGAAGGAGTTGCAGGAAACCACCTCGCTCTACAACCAACAGCTTGAGAAGGAGAAGCAAGAGATTGCGGAAGATGAGGAGTCTTTCACTCTAGCTCCGGAGAAGCTCATGACCGTCTTGGCCAAAGTGGGTGTACAAGCCACCGCCGAGCAGGCCACTGACTTTGCGCGACAGATTGAGGAAACCGCAGCAAAAAGAAGGAAGTGTGGGTAACAACCATGAAAGAGCAAGAGATGGCGAACGCAGGGGTTGCCACAATCCAACCAATGGCAAGTCATCTAGGGGACAATGATGATTGCGCGCCGATGGATGGACTTGTGGCTTGTGACTCAGGACAGGGGCAAGCACAGGGCATAGGGTCCTGTGTTTTTGGGGCGCCAGCAGATGATGTTCTGGTGGCAGTGAAGGATCAGCCAACCGCTGCTCCTAAATTTTGTGGTGGGGCAGGTAACATGGATGCATCAATGGAGCCAGCCCCAGCCGAACCAGATGAACATCTTGCAGAAGAGCCAGAAATTGAAACTCAATCACCTCTGGACCATGTGGTCCAGAACCTCCACTGCCGCACAGGCAACTTTTGCAACCGCTGCTTTGCAAATGCCCCTTTCAGGCTGTGGGCATGGGCTGGCAGCTTTATTAATGGGAGGACCACAGCTTTGGAACCGCGCTGGTGCTGCTGTCATGGCGGTGCTCAAGGACGAGGGTGTGGTCAACATCACCTCTCTAGCACTCTATGGCAGCAATTTGATGACACGGTACAAGATGATGCATCCCATTTCCTCATGGCGTTGGCTCATTTGGCCGATTCACAGCAGCTCATCAAGGGCTACTACCATGCGGATCACCGGCGCCAAGTTCACAAGAGGCAGGCGTTCCCTACGCATCTTCTACGCAGATCATAGCTGACTGGGCCAACACTGCTAAGGGTCAAGTGCTTGACGGAAGGGGCCTTTGGATAGGCCACATTGGCCGCTATGTGCTCAAAGATGGGAAATGGACAAAGAAAGCGTCACCAGATTTTGAATGTGCCCACCATCTTCAACCTGCCCTACACTGAGGACGGCAACATGACCAAAACGGAGCAGTACTCTCTCATCGGACTGCTCTGCCACTCAGGGAATGAGCACCAACACGGGCATTTCTTTGCGGTCTTTGTGTACCGCGGAGTCTACTGGATTGTAGACGATGGGTCTTTCCCTCGACCAGTGCCTGAAACGACAGATTGCGCAGGTCTGGGCAATCCCCTCGTCAGCAATATAGCCAAAGAATGTGACTTGTGAGTTCCCAAGTGGGCGTGCGCCACACCTGGACTCGGAGCCTCAGGCTAAAAAGAGACGCGCGACTGGCATCAGCTTTGCACGCAAGACTTGGTACAGATCTTCCATCAGATTGAAGAGCAGTTAATTAATTCCTTAGGAATGGGCTGCGTCCTTGATTGCGCTTCTCCCCAGGTCGGCGGAAATTGAGAGGTTAATAGGCTTGGTTGCAACCATGTATCGCTTGTGGTGCCGCTTGAGGAACACCGTGCCAGGCACTGAATGTCTACAGGTGGCGCTCAAACGGGCCTTCATGATGGAACACAACAATGCCACGAAGAAAACAGTCATCTCGGTCCTCCTTGACATGTCCAACTTCTATGACAGGATCAGCCTTGACAAGCTTTGCCAAAGGTGGCTGGACTCCTCCCACCCTGCTACTCATGCCGCTTTGGCCATGCAGCTGTAGCTAGGGGGCCGGATTCTTGAAGCTGAAGGTGAAGCTTCGGAACAAGTATGGACCAACAATGGGATTCTTGCTCGAGATCCCCAAGCACCCTTGGCGGCCAGCGCAATGCGCTCAGAGCTTCACATTGACCTGTGGATCGACGATCTGAGCTTTGACGTAGTTGAAAGAGATCCGGCCAATGCTGTCAGAATCGCTCTAGCAGCCTTTGAGCGCATCAAGACGCTCTTGGAACAAGACAACCTGAAGATCTCCGAGAAAAAGGCAGGTTTCGTTGTCTCCAACACCGCTGCCAAGCGCATGCTGCAGGAAAAGCTAGCTGCTGATGGACCCAAAGTCCACGATGTCATGCGCGACCTTGGAGTAGACTGCACAGCCGGGCGATTACGCCGCATCATGACTATTGTCTACGACACGAATGGGAGCCACCAGCACCCACCCGGACTATGGACCTTTCATGGCTCAAGTCAAGACCTACAGGCGATTCTACGGCAACTGGCCGGAGGGCCTGCATCGATCCCTTGAAAGGGCTTGGCGCATCATCCGTGAGGGGCTGGATCAAGCCAAACATCCTTGGCAGGTTGCTAAAGGTCCTGTGGCAGCCTTCATTTGCTTCTTACTTGAACACCAGTGGGAATGCAGCAGCTATATGGAGAATGGATCAAACCTGGCCACAATGGAAGTAGAGATTTCCACCTCAACATGAATGATGATTGGTTCACCCTACAAGAAGAACTCAAGCGGGCGGAGCGCTGGGAGAGGTTTGAGCGCCAACAAACGCCAGATGCTCAATGAAATTCAGTACACACTGGACTGGAAGCCTTGGCAGCAAATGACCAAGACTCTCAACTCCCGCAACAATGTGGCTCTGCTGACTTGGCATCAGGGCGCCCTGTTTACCAAGATGTCCGACAATGAGGAAGACAAGCGCCTTCAACGCCCACACTGTGGGCAACCAGCCACCATTTTGCACCAAAGAGATGACCATGGCATCAACCTCAAGTTTTGGACGCAAGGCCCCTTACAGCTTCCCAGATGTGAGATTCCCAGATATGAGATCCCCACTGGTGGAGCTGCGGTTCAAGCTTGGGGTAGTTGCGCACTCCAAGACGAGTTCAAGGTCAGCAGCGCGGCTGTCTTCACCATTGGGATTGCGGCTACCAGTAATTAGACACGAGGCTCCAAGTAAGGCATTGGTCCAACATGCTGGCTTGGGGAAGGAGCTCTACAAATCTACGGGCTGCGAATGGCAGCGCACTACATCGACCTGAGCACCCAAGTCAAGATCCACGTGATGTTGACAAAGGCTAGGGAAGCTTGGGTACATGGGAAACATGGCCACAATTTCCAACAACTACTCACCATTGCAAATCAGGGCCCTGAGCATCAACGTGCGCACTATGACCCTGAAGAATCGGTTCCATGATGCTACTCCCTCCGGCCACATGAAGAAGAAGAAATCCTGAAACAACAAGATGCCAAATACAAGAGGGCCGCACCGCAGCATCCGATTCCTCTTGGACAGCAAAGAGCACTTCATGAACCAGGAGAGAGAAAAGGGCAAGGTCCTGCGCACTCAAGCACAAGAACAGAAAAAGAGCGCCATTTATGCGGCTCTCCCACTTGCCGTTCACCCAGGTGCTCATCAATGGATTTGAAAGGGGCGAGCGCAACAATGCAAGCTATGCCTCAAGAGAATGACTTTGCGCAACAAGCGGTCTGAGGGCAGTCAGCTTGAAGACACCAAAAGTCAACTTGCCCACAAGATCCTGGAGGGCACGCTTGAAGGTGCTGGGGCCACCATTTCCAGCACCGGGCAGCTACTTGGTGTGCCAGCTATGTGGCGCAAGGGCATTGCGGCGTTCCGCCAAGGACAGGTTGAAGGACATGGCAGCAAGTCGTTGCTACAATGAGGAGTGGCATCCAACCCACAGGCTGTGGCGAAAGGCCAATGTGGTCAGATGCCAGGCATGCCGTGCACAGGCTCACCACCGTGATGACCGCTGGGAGCCCAGCCGCGCTCTGAAAGCGCGTTTTGGAGAAGAACGCGGAGGACCAGTGCAGCTGCCGCTGATCTTCAAGGTCAAAAAGGCCGACTCGTGAGCCCAGAAACGAAGCGAGAAAAATGTCAATCAAAATCCAACATCAACTGGAATAGCTAAAGCAAGCCTCATGCCCCGTAGTCAGTCAGATCTTGAGGAACTCCTATGCTGCAAGCATGTCGCGCGTTCATGCTTTTCTGTCATTCGTGTGGGTCTCAATACGTTCAAGCTTTTTGCATGTGAGGGCCATTGCTTCCAAGCTGCTATCCATTTGAATTGGCTAGAGCCTTACAGGTTGGAGTCTCTGGACATTCTGTTGTACAATGAACAAGCAATGTGGGTGCAACTAGTCTAAGATTTTGGGAGCAATGTAATGTATTATTCATGCTGCAGTGCTGCAGCATGTCGTTTTGTGCCACGTCAGATACAACGCTTGATGAGTTGACCCAGGCTCTTTGGCAGCAAATCCTAGAACCAGCGCAAAAAGCGTTTCTAGAGGTTCGAGCAGGCCATCGCTTACATGTGAAACCATTTCAACCTTTACCTTCTGAGAAGAAATTGACAATCTTGTCAGGAAAACGCACGTGCAAACTCTGGATGTATGACAATATGTGACATATGAGTCTTGTATGAGATGAATAATGTGATTTGGAGACGATCCAGGCAGCAACTCTATGTATCGAGAGCGAGCTGCGTTGCGAAGCACCGTGCTGCAGGTTATCACATCTTTCATGTGGAACGCACCAATTCAAGAATCTCTAAGCCGTGAGCTACTGCAGGTTAATTTTTCACTAAAATGATAAAATAACGAGCGAATACACAAGAACTAGTATTGGCCTAACATGCAGAAAGTCTCGCATAGTCAGGCATAATGAAACAAGTTTGGTATGCGTAGTCTAGAATGGGCAAGAGAGTGGACGTCAGACAAAGTGCCTATGCACGTTGCACCATCTGTCCAGGGCACCTCTGACTTGGGAACAAGCGCAAGAGACCTCTGGGGCTTGCTGAGGCACCGGTACTTGAAAGCCTTAGCACTTGCATTCTGGGAAGTCAGTACAAAGCCAGGTTGAATTGAAGACATTTTTTTTGCGTTTGCTTTTATTGCCGCATTTGCCAGGTTTGGCTCGGCACAAAAGCTCGTCACGCACACCAAGAAAAATGGGCTGAATGCTTTGTCTGTGCTTGGTTTCTCCTGTTTGATGCAATTGTCGACTGTTTTGACTCCTGACTGTTCTTCTTGCGGAGCAACTTTGTAGTTGATTGGGTTCAAGGGCTTCGCTGGCTTGACTTAAAGAAGCTACTGAGAGCACCATTTGTGAATAAGCCTTCACCAGCAACGAGTTGTTTCATCCCACAGAAGGGCCCTCTGGTCCCGGCCGGTCATCCAAGCATTTGAACGGCCAATTCGATTCATTCGAGTTGGTTCACTCGACGTCGTCTTGGCTGATGAGTGATGCCTCGACACGATCAGGCTCAGCGGGCCTGTCTTGGAATGTGGATTTTGTCTTTTCCTGCAGGGAGAGAAGTCAGGGTTTGCGCTTTGGGGCCTTGACAGTACTTGTAGAAAGTCAATCTGAACCAAGACTGTTTTGAAATGTACAAAAGCGTTGAAAAGCGGTTTGGTAAATTGTTTCAACATCTGCAACGACGTCGTCAATGGGATGCAGGCGCAACTTGCTCCGGAGCGCAAGAAGCGGGCATTGGAGGCAACATTTTCCCTGAAGGGAACGGCCTCGTTTTGGAACGCGGAATCGGTCTCAATTTGGAACGCGGAATCGGTCTCAATTTGGAACGCGGACCTTGCGGTGGTTCCTCTCTCGTCTTTTGTTGTGTGCTTCTGGTGTCTTTTTCTTCCTGTCTTTTTTTCTTCTGGTTGTTTTTTCTTGTGGCGCTTTTTTTTTTGGTGTTTTTTCTTGTGGTGTTTGTTTTTTCTTCTGGTGTTTTTTCTTGTGTTATTTTTCTTCTGGTGGTTATTCTTGTGGTGCTTGTTTTTCTTTCTGGTGTTTTTGTCTTGTGGCGTTTTTTCCTCTCGTGTTTTTTTCTGGTGTTTTTCTTCTTGTGGTGCTTTTTTCTGCTCGTGTGTGTTTTTTCTTCTCGTCTGCTGGTTTCTTTCTTTGGGTTGTGTTTGTCTGGGGGTTGTTTTTCCTTCTCGTGCTTTTTTTTGGGGGGTGTCTTTTTTTCCATGGTTGGCTTTTTTCTTCTGGTGTTTTTTTCTTTGGGCGCTTTAGTTCTGCTAGTGTTTTTCTTCTGCATACCTTTTGTGAGCCACCCGAGGGCAACATTGAGAAGGGGAACGTGTCGCTCCAACGGGATGAACTTCAGAGGAGGAAGGTGCCATTCCAATGGCGCGCGCCTTTTTGTGAACCACCCAAGGGTAAAATTTAGAGGAGGCAGGTGCCATTTGGTCAGTGGTCACATGGATCACCGCCACCTGATTCCATGGACATAGACATGTGTACATGCCAACATACAGCCATATGTACATACATGACCCACGCATAGGAACATACGTGCATACATGGAGACACCTTGCCCTGGTCAGCCGTATGTGTGACAGTCGTAGTCATTCACAGGGGCTCGCTTCGCTCGCCCTGCGCGGAGGCGCTGCGCCCTCCCCCGCACCCCTCCCGCAGCTGTACCATCACACCCCTCGCCACAAATCTGGTCACATGGAAGACTGTGCGCCACCACATGTTTCCATGGTCAGACAGATGCGTACATATCAACGTACAACCAGACGCACATACATGGAGACCTGGTTGGAGACCCGGTGACGCAGACGAACCTAACATTGGAACAGACGTACCTACATAGAGACACTACAACGTAGCGCCCCTTTTGTGGGCCACGCGCGGGTTAAATTTAGAGGAGGAATATGAAATATGCCACTCCGACGGTGTATACCCTTTGTGACCTACCCAAGGATAAAATGTGGAGGAGAAAGGCCCAATTCCAACGGCGCAGAGGATGAAGGTGCCAGGCCCAAGCCGCATACCTTTTTGTGAGCCACCCGAGGAAATTTAGAGGAGGAATTTGCCAATCCAACAACGCGTACCTTTTGTGAGCCAGTGGAGGGTGAAATTTAAAGGATGAAGGTACCGTTCAAACAGTGCATAATTGTGACCCACCCGAGAAGGGGACTTTCTTTTGTGAGCCACCCGGGGACATGCTTTAGAGGACGAAGGTGCCATTCCAATCAATGGCGTGCACTTTTTTGTACGCCGCGCGAGCGCAAAATGTTAAATGAGGAAGGTGCCTTCAATTTCAGCCTCGGCTGGGTATGCACCGTTGGATTGGCGCATTCTTCCTCTAAATTTTACCCTTGGGTGGCTCCCAAAAGGTTTGTGCCGTTGGATTGGTACATTCCTCTTCTAAATTTTGCCCTCGGGTGGCTCACAATATGCGTCATACAAATGGAAGCTTCATCCTACTGGCGCATTCCTCGCGCCGTTGGTAGATAGGGCGGGTGCCATTCCCACGGCGCATGCCTTTTGTGAGCCACCCGAGGGTAAAATTTAGACTAGGCAGGTGCCATTCCAACGGTGCATACCTTTTGCGAGCCACCCAGGGGTAAAATTTAGAGGAGGAACGCACCAATCCAACGATGCAAACTTTTTGTGAGCCAATGTGCCAATTCAACGGCGCATGCCTTTTGTGACCCAGCCGAGGCTGAAATTTAGATGGGGCTGCTGCCACTCCCATGGTGCATACTTTTTGTGAGGCACCCGAGGGTAAAATTCCGAGGAGGAATGTGCCAATCCAACGATGCATACCTGATACCTTTGTGACCCAGCCGAGGGTGAAATTTGGATGAGGCAGGCGCCAATCCCACGGTGCATACCTTTTGTGAGCCACCCGAGGGTAAAACTTAGAGGAGGAATGTACCTCCAACGATGCAAACCTTTTGTGAGCCACCTGAGGGTAAAATTTAAAGGAGGAACGTGCCAATCCAACGGTGCATACCTTTTGTGACCCAGCTGAGGAGGAGGATTGTGCCAATTCAACGACGCATACCTTTTGTGATCCAGCCGAGGCTGAAATTTAGATGAGGCTGGTGCCATTCCCACGGTGCATACTTTTTGTGAGCCGAGGGCAAAATTTAGAGGAGGAATGTACCAATCCAACGATGCAAACTCTTTCTGAGCTACGTGAGGGTAAACTTTAGAGGAGGAATGTGCCAATCCAACGCTGCGTACCTTTTCTGACCCAGCCGAGGGTGAACTTTAGAGGAGGAATATGCCATTCCCACGGCGCATACCTTGTACACACACCACATGTGCCATTCCAACGGTGAGCAACCAAGGATCAAAATTTAGACGAGGAAGGTGCCATTCCCACGGTGCATACCCTGCGTGACCCACCCGAGGGCAAAATTTAGAGGAGGGAGATGCCATTCCAGCAGTGCACACCATTGGTGAACCACCCGGGGGCACGTTTTGGAGGAAATTTGTGCATGCGATTTTAGCTGACTTCCTTTCTCCACACACCTGCCGTGGAGCCTGCAGATGTAATACTGCATGTGTTCCAAGATGGGCCAATTTATGTGTTCCAAAATGAGCCCAAACAGACAAAACCAGTGCGTTCCAAATTTGTTCATTTGTGTGTTCCAAAATGAGCCTCCTCCCTTCCCTGAAGCTCTAGTTTTCTTCAAGTTGGCAACCTTCATTGCTCTTTTGTTCACCTTTGGTTTTGGATGTATTGAAGCCTGAGTACTCAGTTTAGGACAAGATAGTATGTATTTCCCCGCATAACTCACATAGATTTGATTTGAATGCGTGCCGGTGGCTGTTTGGCATGGTTGGCAGCTGTTAGAGGTCTTTGTTATTCATTTCCTTCTTGTTGCCGTTCCCTTTGGTTGATCATCTCCTACTACGGAGCTTTTTACATTTTATTTTTCCAACTGGCTTCGCTTGGAACAATCCTTGAGCATGAACATTCGCCAACTCGATAATTCAGCGCTACCCAATAGCATCACCAGCATCACCACGCGGCGACAGTTTCACATATCGAATCTCAACAACACAAAATAACACGAACGCCTTAGCTGCAGGCTTGTTTCACAGGCCATTTACTTGGTTCCGCCGTGCAATTTATAAGGTCCGATGTTTGCTACAGCAATTGCTAACCTGCCAAAGGTCCTTATTTCACTTGCTTCCGGCGACAATGAAGATCCTGCCTCTCACTCAAAGGCATCCTTGTCATCACGTAATCATTTTTCAGCTGGAGATTTAAGAACGAGGACCACTGTTAAGAGCTGACAACCTTGAGACTCCATGACGTGTGTGAAGTGCTTTTTGAGTGAAGACAATGTAGCTTTCAAATTTGCCATGCCAACAAAACAGAGGCACGCCACTTTGTGCGCACAAAGCAACATGACATGTTCAGAGTCAGGTTGCACGTGTGGGGAAGTGAGAACGGCTCACGAAGACGAGTCTCCTTTCATTGCCGACATGCTATGACATGCTCAACGCAGTCAGCGAGATGATTCAAATGGAAGGAGTGGTGGAAGAAAAGGCAAGGGGCAACGTGATTGGTTTGACCACACCAACGAAAAGGGCCAGTCGCTTTTTCATGGACAAGTCACAAGTCTGGAAAAGGAGCAAAGTGGCAGCGCAATGAGATGGGGCGGACGTCTTGAACTCTCAATGCGCCGAAGTGACATCACAAGACGAAAACAAGAGAAAACCCTGGGTGTAGCCTAAAGGAGAGCCTTCTGGTTTCCACATATAGAAATTCAATAAGGAACAAGAAATGTGGCAGTCGTTTTGACATGCAGGGACGTCTTGAATCCTGCGAACACCTGTAGGTAGTTTTGACAGAAGCTGACGAAACTAATGTGAAGCCCTTGAGAGGTAAGAAGCAGTGCCTTGGCTGAAGTTGGAGCCTGAGCTTCCTTCAGCCTGAGCTTGCGACACATTTTCTCTCGATCTTGGAGATGTTTGCCAAGGAGACCGCATCGCCAAAAGCCAAAGTAGCAGCCTCAGAACCCAGAAAGAAAGCAGCGCTGCACGAACATACTGTACAAGGCAGTACGCATAATATTTCTCTATATATATGTGCAGGGGACCTTGTGGGTCTATTTTGTCGTTCCTCTAAACAGCCGATCCACACCGATTCGTTCTGTCTCAGTGGTTCCAGAGTGAAAGGTACAAACACAAAAAATGTTTGTTATATGGAGGGTTCATATAAACCACCTGTTGGGAGTGTGCCATCTACTGCTTTGCCAAGAATCAGCAATGAATAATGGCTCGATCATAGGTTCAACTCACCTATTCTCTCCACACCATCTCACTCCACACCACACGTAGCAAACGCATAGAGGTATGGACGTGGAAGGATAGTGCGACAGCAACACCTTAACAATACATTGACGCAGAAAAGATTTGTCTACAGCAAAGTGGTTCTAAAGTAATTAATACCTTGGTATCTTTTCCTTCAAGGAAAATTATGTTAATTTCCTGTTCAGGCAAGACCTGCTCCATTCGGCATCCTTCTCCATGTCACGCGTTGCATTTTTCAGCAATGATTTGCTTTTACTCTTTGTCTTGATTTCCCCTTGCCATCCTTCCTACTCACACTTCATTGCACAACCCCTCTTACAGCCTCTTACAGTGACAAAACGAATGGACAACGATAAAGTGAAAAGACCAACCCACTAGAGAGCGGAAACAACTTGTCAATGCGCGCTTTCCCTTTTATCATTTTGTCAAGCCCCCTTTTTCTGACAAAAAGATTGTCAAATTCTATTGTATGTTCAATCTTGCTGCATATTGTATTCACATTCTCTTTGGTGTTTGTTTTGCTGCCTTCACAGGACGAGCAGGGACCAAAAACTACTGCAACCCATGTGAATGCAGGATTTGGCCTGCTATGTCCTACCATTTTTGTTGCATTTCTCCTCAACGAAGTCCACACCTCCCAAATCGCTGGTCCACTGGCTTTACACGGAAAGAAATCCACACACAGACATTGGGTTCTCATATTTTCTTCATACTCTCTGTTTGATTGGAGTGCCTGAAAAAGAAAAAGCAAAAGACACGCAAGCCAGGTTAGGCATATTCATGAGCATCCAAAGTGTAAAACAGGAAACAAAACACATTGAGTGGTTGTGTTCTTGCTTCACTGCCTTATCCCGCAGTTTTTCCTTGGGCCTCTGAAGCTTGCGGGGCACTTGTCCACTTTGAGGTGTTGTACGGCATATATCCAGACTAAAATGTCAATTGAACAAACTATGTTCTGTCTATGTCTCTGCTCACTTCTGTCACTTCTGATCTATCTTGGTGTCCTTTGCACAACCCTCCGTGTGGTACAAAGCCTCTTGTCCATTCCATCTACCTCTTCGATTCGACCGCATGCCGCTTGACTTTCCTAGGCTCTTCTCCTGTTTCATCCCTGAAAGAACCCCTGACATGGGTTGAATGGAGACTAAGGTTTTGGTCGGAGGGGAGGAATAGAAGGTGCATGCGGATTCTGCTTGTGCGATGTTCCAGATCACGCTTGATGGAGAGATCTCAGGGTTGAGATGCTTGGAGGTAAAAACTGTTTCCAGTCTCAACCTAAAAATTCGACGCTCAAGATTTCCAAATCAGGCCACTTACTCAACTTAGTGTAGGGCCCAAATTGCGTAACTTAGTTGCGGCTCTCTAGTTCCTCAAGCCAGTATTCTGTCATAGTCATAGCCATTCTGCTAAATGTAACCTTGCCCCACCTGGATAGTTTTTTCTAGTCCAGCTTACCGTAGTCTTTTCTTGAGAAATCTATTCAAGTAAACACGCTGATCCACTCCTACCCTTTAAGGAGGGAAGCACATCAGATTACAGGGGGTCGATGATCAAAGCATGGAGTCAGGTAGGATCGTGTATGTTGATAGGACAGGGATTGTCAACCCTGGCTCACTTCTATTTTGCTTGATTTTGCTATGCTCTCCTCCAGTCTCATCCTTGATAGAATTGCACGCGGTTGTTCAATATATAACTTCCATGTATCAAACTGACAAAATTCCATTGTTTTATAGATGTTGATGAATGGGTGTAAATGCTCTGGTATTATGATTTTTAGTCATTGCACTGCGGATCTTTTCAGATGGATATATCATAACTTATCATTCCACAGCAGATTTAACATTAAACATCAATGTCTGAATTGATACCTATCTCTTGAAGCTATACCTTGCTAAGTTGTTTTCATCCTCAACTGTAATGCAACCCTCAACTGAAGTTCTGTATAGCTAGCTTCTGTGTTTTGATTGTATGTTTGACTTTGTGGGACTTGGTATTTAATACCTATTTCATAAACACTTTATGACAGATCAACATAATAGTTAGGCCATTGTCTCTTGTCACCAAAAGTAATATCTCCTGACCTGACAATCCTTGGGTAGTTCAATTTTAAAAATGTCATTTATGTCATCAATCATGTTGTATTTAGTGTGTTTTTCCTGCTCATTGATGTAGTCATCAATGGGAGCTTTTTACTCTGGGTTTGTTTACTTCTTGATTCTGTTGCAATGTCTTCAGGTCGTGGATTAAGGAATAGATATGGTTGTTTTAAATCATTGCAAACGGTCTTGATTCGATGGTCTCTTTTGTGTGGGTCATATCTGTAATTTAATGTTTGACACGTTAAACTCAATATGTACGTAATATCTTTCCAGAAAACGAAGTTATGCGGGTGTGGTTTTTACGCGTTTTTGTGGTTTGTGGTTTTCTGTGTTTTTTTGAACATGTTGGTTGTTTTGAAGAACGTGTCTAGCAAAAATGTTAACTTGTAATCTGTCAGGTCTCTCATCAAGCTTTTGCAAACATACTAGCTCTCATGATTCCCACGCAGAAGTCCATCAACCATCATCTATCAGCAAGTCCACGACATCACATCATACATCATCAGGTGAGGGGAATCTAGTCTCCAAGACCTCCAATCTCAATGAATCCTCAATCTCCAGCAACAGAGCCATGCCAATTGGATCATTGCATATCAGAAAATGGAGAAGGAATGGGGGACTCAGGCTCTATGTGGTGAGGGTGAATACCTATACTGGATGGTCTCAATGGTGGAGTGTGGAAGAGTGTCTTGATTTGATGGCTTAAGATATCCAATGAAAGAGAGAGAGAGAGAGATGGGCATATAGCTAGAGAGCATAGGAAAATGGAACTTCCAATGTGGATGAAATGAGATGAGATCAGATGAGATGAAGCATTGGGTGCATCAAGCAGCTGGCATTGGGGTTGTGGCTGTATGTATGCAATTTCATTTGAGACCAAAGGCGGCTGCGTAGACGCAACACCTGGGCATGAGAGATTGGGATCCTGACTTTGAGCAAATTGTATTGCTATACAAGCCATTGAGCAAATGCCCCAGACAGCAGCGCAATATGGATGGTGCTTCGATTGGGTTTGTTTGGCCTCCAAGAGCACATGGGCACCATGTGAGAGGGAAACTTGCTAGGCAATCAATGATGGGGATGGGGTCCATGGAATGCCTGGTGCAAATGGGTTTGTGTGCATGGTTAGGTGGCCCAATGGAAGATCAGAACCATTTGGGTACAACATTGGTTGATCCTCATGATTCATGCTATTGGTAGAGCATATTTTTGGCACAACTTGTCGCTTTACTTTTGGGTGGGTGTTGGTGAGGTCCAATGAGGTTTTGAGCTTGGGTGGCATCACGAGAAAGAATGTCCTTGGCAATGTTGGGTGAACATTGGGGGCGTGCTGAGCATGCCAGGTTTGGTACAATCTGACTTCATGTATGTCTATGTGTGGGCAAGAAGGTTGGGGTGAAGAGAAGGTTCTTCATGAGCTTGGGAATGAGTAGTGGCCACACAGCCAATTCAGACCCTTAGTGTATCTATGGCTGGATCGTTCCATGGGCTTCATAAGGTTCTTTGGAAGATTTCGTCGTAGATGGGGGGATATGAAGCATAGACCTGAAGAGCCATTGGGTGAGAGCAGTGGAGATGAGCAGGATTGGTCTAATCGAACTTGTGGGATAGGATGTGAACTCCCAATGCTCTCAGAATGGTTCCCTATGACCCTGAGAATGAGGAAGAGGCTTATTCTGGGTATGGGCGTCATGAAGGCCATTCAAAGCCCAGTCCAATCAGTCACCCAGGTCCAGTACTACTAAGCAAGTTTCTCAACTTTTGTTGGGCCTGGTGGGCACATTGTGTTTCAAGATAATGATCTTCTCTCCATTTCATAAAGAATGTGGATGGAGAAGCCCAAAAAGTGCTACCTTTGAAACAATGAGAATGCTTATGGGCAAGGAAGGGTAGAGTCGCATCCAGAGGTTGTTTTAAAAAAAGTTGGTTTGTTTGGGAAGCAGGAGCGCAAGAACATATCTAAACCGCAACCGTGGAAATTCTTTCAAAACATGACAAAATCTAAGAAAAACGCCACAAAAACGCGTAAAAACCACACCCGCATAACTTCGAGCTCTCTATCTTTTTCCATTTCCTTAATGGATACCCCTTTCAGCCAACTCATCTCTGCCCATAGTCTCACTAATCTTCTCCCCATTAAAAGCATTTTTCTAGTTGTCCCACTCATAAGAGCAGTGTCATGAAATCCATTAATGCATTCCGCCAGCGTACATGATCTATGTAATGACCTTTTTTCAATGCCTTTTGAATTGTGTCAGCATTTGTTTTGTTGTGTTTGTATAATAGTGTTGGATATCTACAGAAGCTGCTTTGTCAAATTGTCATTCAATACATTCATTCCTTTACAGTTCTTCTTTCTTTGCTCTACTGACTCTGACTTTGATCCAGCCTAGGCACTTTCCATATTGAAAGTTCTCTTGCGCATATATAAGGTCCTTAGGACAATCTGTCTCATCTATATATCTTTTGAAGGCTGACAGTGAAATACAAAGCTCCTTGATGTGTAAAGGTTGGTTTTTGTTTGATACCAAACTCTTTGAAGTCTCCCTCGGCATCATCTTAAAGGACAAAATCAACAAGCAGGTCTTCTC